TAGTAGTAGTAGTAGTAGCAGCAGTAAAAAATAGTACCAGCAGGAGTAGCAGCAGTGGAAGTAGTAGTCGTAGTCGTAGTAGTAGTAGTAGTAGTAGTAGTAGTAGTAGCAGCAGCAGGAGCAGTAGTAGCAGCAGTAGCAGCATCAATATTATTACGGTTGCTAGTACCCTAATTGTTAAAACTATGAACAATAACTATAATCTAATAATAAGAACAACGTAGTTGTCGCAGTTTTAGATATGACAATAGTTGTGTTGTTGTTGTTGTTGTCGTTGTCGTTGTTGCTGCTGCTGTTGTTGCTGTTGTTGTTCATGTTGCCGGCGGAGGCAAAACCATACGGAATTCTTGCAGGACTTCCGCATAGAGACGGCGAAAGAAAGCTAGAGAGGTGATCACGAGTTTGAAAATGCGCAACACAATATACCGTAGTATACCCGAAACACCCGTAAGAGCCCTGCCCGGTGCTGCAGGCCAGACTAGCAGACCTCGGGCGCTAGAGGTGCATGCGGAGGTTACGAAAGGCAGCATGACGAGGAGTATTAATCACGTCGATAGTCATGGTTGCAGTCGTCGTCCTTTCGGCGGTGACGAGAACGTGAGCAACGAAGCAACAAGAACAACCTGTATCACCACCTCTGCCAAGGCAGCAGTCCCAAAAAAGCAGGATAGCTTCACAAACAGTACAAGGATTAAGAGCAACATTGATCCAAGGCAACAGTGCGACAGGTACATGGCTTGCTACAGCGGAGATTAGCTCATTTGGCCTCACTGCGCGTGGATCGTGGGGTGCTTGACGGGCGACTGGAACACCTCATGTGAGGGTTGCTCATGATTAAAACGACTTTCGTGTGGTTATGCATGGACTAACACGGACTCTGCCTGATCCCTTTAGCTTTTGGAAGCAATATCAAACTTAAACCTCATGTCACTGTGTACAATGTGCCTCATGTCACTATATACAACGTGAAAGAAGCTCCCATGCGCACCTCGGAGGGCAGCCTCGCGTTCCGCCACCGGGGCGCTCAGTAATGGAAACATGGCTAGAGGGACACACACACACACGCACACAAATGTGGGTTTGCAGGAGTCTGAACGAACAGAAGGGTCGAGCGAGGGGTGTTAGGGCAATACGTGGTAGACTATCTGCTGCTTTGCAGTACCAACTGAGGACAGCAAATCCAAATACGTACCCGGATGATACCGCAAGCTTTCCAGTCACGAGAGTCATGAGGTATGGTATGGTAGTCTCGTCCAGTGTAGCAGTTGGGCGCCTTTGCAATCTTGTTCCTACTACTTCGGGCCAGCCGACAGAAAAGCTGCATGTGCGCAGAGCCGAAGAAGCTCTCTATCCTAAACCCTAAACCCTAAACCCAATCGATGCCACTGAACTGAGTACCAGAAACTGCCATTTGTCGCAGGGTCAGACAATCGGCTCAGTGCTCGTCTGTTTTGTGCTCATCGGCAAAGCAGGGCAGCTCGGTCAGCGAGAGATGCGCATGACACAGTTGGAATGGGCAGAATTCCCTAAACCCTATAAATAGTAGAATCTTTACTATAAGGAGCCTAAAAAATCTACATTTCCCTAAACCCTAAACTCTAAACCCTCAGACTGCTTCCAGGTCAGCACCGCACCTGGGTCCTTTTTCCTGCCAGGCGCTCGTGAGCGAACCCAGCCGGGGGGGGAGTGGAGGTTCCTGTCCTTGCCCTTCATGACGGCGGTCCGACCACCTCATTCTACACTCGCTGTAGTGGCTTATGATGCTTACCTGGACCCCAAACGCATGCAGAACAATAGCCTTTGACATTTTTGGGGCCATTATTCTACCTACTTTTGGGGGTTTAGGTATTGGTGGCTCAGGGAGAACCTGTGGGGCAGCAAAGCTCGGCAGAGCTCCACGCGAGACTGCAAGATCTAGAGAGACAAGGCTCCTGAAGTCCGAAAGTCATAGCGATAGTAGGACTGCTGTAGGTTAAGAGACTACTATAGTACATCATGGTACATTGTATATAAAGTGTATGCTTTCGAATGATATATCGAATCATATATACTTCTTATTGTTTAAGATCCTAGAGGGAAGGAGCCGAGAGCCACACGTCTCGGCCTCTGCGGCTGGAGCACGGCGTGGCTCCCAGTAGGATCCTGCGCGGAGTGACTTTCGCATCGTTGGGAAGGCTGGTTGCAATCAGCAGTCACCTGAAGGTCGCGAACTTCGTGTGTTTTGGACGACTGGAGATTCTGGAGACATCTGCAGATCAAAGCCTCGGAATTCGGCAGGCCCTACGGTGGATGTGTTGACGACATCCTCTCAAAGCCTCTCAGCCTAGGCTCCCGACTCTGTCAGCGGCGCCTCCCGGACATATAAAATGAACTATGGCATCATGGCACATCACGGCAGCCGCTGTTCCGAATCCACCGCAGACCTGGCCCTCGTCGTCGGAGTCCAGAAGGTCCAAGACCTGAACCAAAGCAACCGAGCACCAATGGAAGCCTCGCAACATGGAAAAGAAGGCGTCCCACCGGCACGCCCTCGGCCGTCCTCTGCGTGTGGTCCTGCGCGTAAGAATGTGAGACCCCCCCCGTGACACAGCGGCCTACTCCGAAAGAGCGTGCATGCTTTCTGAATTTCTGCTTTGGGCACTCGATGTCACCGCGGTCACCTCACAGTTCATGAAGACGTCCATCGGGATGGCCTGAGGCGCTCGTCTGCTCTGAGCGCTTGCACTCCTCCCATTCCCAAAGTAAGCGTCACAAGGAGCCTCGTTGTACAGGTCGTAGCCAGGAGCTGCGGTCTCCTCAGCCTCGCGCAAGGGCCAGCGCGAGCGCTGAACACCAGCGATTCTGGGGGGGCCTTCTGGGGCGAGAGAGAGCTGGTCGTGACGTGAGCCGAGCCCGCCAAACCCGAGCATTGCAATCCTGAGCCAAATCGCAGATGCGCTGCGCTGCCTTCTTGCCTTTCTTCTTCTTGCTCTTCCCTGCCTCGCTGAGATGACGTGACGAAACTAAGCTTGGCATATCGCCATGATGTTCTTGCGAGTCTCTGGCTGATTCGAGACTCGAAGTATGTGCCATGTCTGGTCACTATGAACGAGGGCTCCGGTAGCTGCACAACATAGCACAACACCCAGTGTCCCAGATTCAGGAACGAAACCCCACTGGACACTGCCTGCCCAACTTCACAACACCAGCCGACGCTCTTCGAACCCGTGGTTCTACTCGCCGCAAGCATCTGTGCTCCTTGACCCCGAAACAACCCGGCCTCAAGGGAGGGCCCCGCCGGTGCGTCACCTGACCGCAGCGCGCTCGGCTTCCGCAGGATGGCTGAGGAGCATGCAGGTCCCCCAGCAGCACCATTGTCGTCCGACACGTTTCAGGAAGAATGGGATTTGGGAGCACCGTTGGTGAAGAATCGCGGCTCCAGTGATACTTGCATCTACCACGCTCACCACAATGCGCCAAGCCCGCTCAAGATCTGGCAAGCGCTTGGTCCGAAAACTTCTCAGCAACCCCGGCAGCCTCAAATCTTGACCCCTGCACTTTTCAAAACAAAGCCTGCGGCCTCCCGATGCAAAGGGTGGCGGAGCCGGTTCCGTGGAGGGCCTCTCACCAGCTCTTTGAGGAATGGGAGCACAAATTCGGGATCTTCTTCCGTAGAGGTCCCTTGTCTTCCTAAACTGCCGCATTGAGGCTGGGGTGTGCGTCTGAGGGCTTATATAATATATGTATGTGTATGTGTGCATATATATATATATATATTCATATAGATAGATAGATAGATAGATAGATAGATAGTGTGTGTGTGTGTGTTATTTTCTGTATGTATATATATATATATATATACATATATATATATATGTTGTATGTTACATAGTTTTGTTCATAGGTTATACTCCAGATCATATGCTACATGTTTGGGTCACGGATTGGGAAACTCTCACTCTGGAAGGATGCTGGCTTCTTTGAGTACCGGCCCCTTTTGTGGCCCAAAAGGCGGAGCTCGTTCTAAGAGATATACAGACTATCGTCACGAGGTCTGACGTGCTATGCACGTGAAGGGATTGGGAAAAGTTTCATTTTCCGATTCGGCTGCACTTTGAAATCATAATGCTCACAGCCGCTTTCTCTACATTCAAGCATCTCGGATAATATAGGGACCTTCATTCATAGATGGAATAGGGTACATTATTAGATGGTCACATTGGGAGCCAGTTCAGCGTACTATACTGTAGTACACTATAGCCTACCGTTATCGTATATCTTCGGAGATTACACTATATCATATATCATTCATACAGTATATACTAGTATACGATAGTAGCAGGCTGTAGTGTACTACAGTATATGAAAGTATGTGGGTAGATGTCCAAATTAAGGTCCCTTTTAGGATCCTTTTTATAATGGTGCCGTACTATATTGGGGACCTACAAAGGGACCCTAATTTAGAGAAATACCCATGTGCAACGCACGCTATACTACCAATACCCTGACTTGGACCGGCTCTGACAGTCTGAGTGCAAGACCGGAAGCGCTCAATCACTTGGCCTGGTTGGAGGACCCGGGAGCACTAAGACTAGAAAACCCAACCGACAAGAAAACAAAAGCAGGCCTCGACGGACCTTTTCCCTCGTGCTCTACGCTGAGAGCCATCCTTGTGGCAGCGGTTGAGTTCGCAACAGCTGTAAAAACGGCTGTTTCCACACCAGCCCCCATTGGAGCTGTTGCGTCACCGCCCCTTTCGGCGGATCTGTTCGAGCTCTTGTTCTCGCTGCCGCAAACGATCTTTACACTGCCTCTTTCGATGCCCAGCCTCCTCACGTAACTTCTGTGCCGCCGGGGAGTCACACAGACTCCAAGGCCCACCCAACATGACGAGGTCACGCATGTGGTTTCCATACTCCTTCGTGAGGCCGTCCGCTGGCATCGTGAGGCCGGGGACCCATCTGACCCAGCGATTACTGCCAGGCTCGTACAGGGCCTCCTTCAAAATGGCAATGTCGATGGCCAATCGCTTGTCCTCGCCGTGCCCGATGCTGTTGAGCACGTCGTATCCCGTCTTGGAGTCGAGGACCATGATCTCCTTCCACTTCGCTGCGCTCCAGCGCCACTCTCGCAGTGAGAACTGAGCGTCCATGATCTCGGCCATCATGGCTCGGATGAAGTCGCACTGCTCCATGGCCTCAGCAGCTTGGGAGATCTCGGCCGCCAAGCTGCTTCTGACCACTCGTTTCAACACCGCACTGTGGTACATCAGGCAGTTCACAGTGGTCTCCTCGTTCAAGATGTCTTCACTGGCGTTGAGGATCATCAGGCCTCCTTGCGATCTCCCCTTTGGCATTGCTCCATGCGAGGCATCGCTGACGGCCAGGAAGACCATCTTGTCGAAGCCACCCGGGATAGCCTGGAAGCAGCAGGAGTAGGGCTCGCGCGCCTTTTTGACGAGACCTTGCAACGCCTTCAGGGTCTCGGGGTCTCGTGCGCCTGCCATCTGCTGCACCTTGGATATTCCAAAAGCCAAGTCCGCCCGACCTTGACGAGCCATCCAGTTGATTTGCCCCCCGACTGATGCCACCCACTTCTTCTCGGCATCCGTCAAAGGTCTGCGGTCATCCTTCTGGCGTTGGGGAGGGTCCTTCAACTTGTGCGCATAGCCATCCATGGAGATGGTAATCTTGAACGTCGTTGGGCACTGTTGTTCCCATCGACCACAGAACTTCACCATCTCGTCCATGGCTGTCTTCCACTCTCCGAAGTTAAAAGTCTTGCGTAGGTCGTCCAGCACATGCTCATGTTCAGGATGGAACACAATCCTCAGGTCGTCCACGTGGATGGCCAGGACGCCCTTGAGTTCCCCGTTGACGTGGTAAACAAAGGTTCCCGGCGAAAGTTTGAGCTCTTTCATGCCAATCTCCACGAGCCCACGCCTCAACCTCAAGTACCACAAACGGGGACTCTCGGATAACCCAAAACCACCCTTAGTCAGCCTGCACAAATCTGGCCGGACTCCTCCAGGACACTTGCTCTGCAGGCGTTTCACTAGGTGTTTTGTCACGGCCTCCGGGTAGCCTCGTGGCATCCTGATGTAGACGACCCTCTCATCGCACAACTTTTCTCCCTGGAGGAAGGCAGCTGAAATGTCCGCATACTTCAAGACCCACCGGCATTGAGCGCTTATGAAGCACAGCAGATTGTGAGCCACTAGGGTTGCCGTAGGAGCCTCCGTTGCGTATTGCCCAGCTTCCTTGTCGAGGTGACCTGCCAATATCCACCGGGCCTTGAGCTTGGCCTCCGCAATGGTCTCCGCTCCGTTCTTGTCCGTTAAGACAAAGCGCGACGGCAAGATCTTGTCCGGATGGACCATCATGCCCATGGGGACCGGCTCGACCGCTTCGTTATCGATGTAGACGTCCAGGGCTTCCGTGAGGGGCTTCACGAAAGCTTCCTTCCACTCCGGAGAAAGCTTGTGCCACTTGAACTCCAGCCTCGGTTTACCCGTCACTGGCTCAGGGATGACAGGGTCCGGAGTGTCGGGGGCCCTTTCCTTCACTTGTTGTGCTACTCGATCGGTGAGGTCCTCCGTGACAGCTGCGTGGACCTCCCATGCACTAGCTCGGCTTGCTTGGAGTACATGTCGTTGGGCTCGGATAGCCTCCTCCAAATGCCACATGGCACAAGTATGTAGTGTGCCATGTCCTCGGTGGCTGGCTGGCTTCGGAGGACCAGTAGGTCGAGAACCATAGGGGGCCACTCGCGGCTTCGCTGAGGAGGATGAACGGGCTCCGGAATCTTGTGCCTCCTCTTCTTGTGCCTCCTTCAGGGCTGGCTCGTATTTTTCTAACACCGCCTTCATCTTGCTCAAATGCTCTTCGGTAGAGCGCCGCCCTTCCTCAAAACGAACTCGCTTCGGTGGGGGATCCCCTACTCGAGGCTTGGGGAGGAGGGCCTGTTGATCTCTATGAAGGCGGATCGGCACATCGTCCAGGCAGGAGGCAATCTTGGCATCCGAGGGCGGGAGCTCCTCCTTCTCATCGTCGCTGAACTCCAGCAACTTCGCCTCGGGCTCCTCGATCTCCGGCTCGGCCATCTCTTCAATCTCGGGGCGTCCTCCTTCGAGTTCTCGCTCAACTTCCTTTAAAGCATCTTGGCATACCCGAGACGCCTCGACCTCTTCAAGGGCCGCCAGCCGGACGTACTCTAAGGGGACGCCCTTGAGCTTGTTCCGGTAGCGCAACCAGACTCGTCGAATCGCTCCGTCCCTGCGCTCCAGCGCCACCACCACCCCGGGCCCCGACCAGGATACTTGGTCCTGCAGCCTTTTGGGGAGGCCCTTGCGCGAATTCGGCGGGTCATAAAAGTAGACGCTGGCCCCTTCATACAACATCTGAAGTCTAGGATGTCGAGACTTCGCGTTGATGGCCTTCCGCAGGGTCTCGCTCGAGTCCGCCCAAATAAAGGCTTGTTCAGCGGCGTGTCGGATCTGCTCATTTCGTCGGCGGGCATCGCTGAAGGCCAGGTCCTGGTTCAGCACATACTTGAAGTGTCCCCGTTCGATCTGGGTCAACAGGGAAGAGGGGATAGCCACGTCCTTGCCCAAAACAATTTGGGTAGGGGAGAATCCTCCGACCCTCGCTTGGCGATTGCGAGCCGCTGTTGCGGCCATCACACATTCCTTTGTTTCACTATAGCCCTTGGCCGTAGTAGCCACAATGGTCTTCATGATGAGAAGTTTAAGGACTGCTCCATGTCGTTCGGCTAATCCCATTCTCCACTTGGCCGTTGGGGGAATTGTCTCATGAAACACATCGTAGGCCCGCATCAAGGACTCGGTCTCCGCCGCGAATTCACTCCCGGCATCCGACATCAACACTTCCGGTGGCCCAAATACCCCTATCCAGTAGTTCTTCAGGAAGTGAGCCACCAGGTCGGCCCGAGCGGTGTGCATCAAAGTGGCAATCTGGTACAGCGAGAATGCGTCCACCGCATGCACGACCGCATACTTGGTCTTCTCCGCATCCCAGACGAAGAAGACATCCACCACCACTCGTTCATTGAACCGTGTAGGTCGGTCGTAGGCAGCCTTCGGGGTCACCGTAGGGGGCACCACAGCTTGGCACACCTGGCACCTCAGATCATTCACCGCGTTCAGCACATGGTCCTGGGCCCCATTCAGATGGAGCATACGCTTCAGCTTGTCGTTGGAGATGTGCCCCAGGACCACATGTAATTTAGCCAGGGTGCTCCGCATAGGCTTGGACAAGGCCCCGCTCCCGCCTTCAAAGTAGATGTAGTCGTACTGGTCCCCCGTCACTTCCCCAAGTCGCTGCCTCAGAAGCCCTTCTGGCGTGGTTTCGGTCTCCACTGGCACAGCCTCCCATTCGAGTCCTTTCGGGCACGACTCGTGTAGCGGAAGGGGTCCAGGGGCTTGACGTCGGGCTTCAAGGGCTTCATTGGCGGCATTGAGGACCCGACTTGCCCAACCGTCGGGCCACCGCGCAGCCAGACTGGCTCTACTGCATATTTGGCCCGAGCCATCCACTCCCATGCCCTCGACGGCTTGATGTTGGCCTGGTGCGTGTTCGCATTGTCCTCCGCGGCCCAGCGCAGCGCACCACAAGGGGTCATTCACTTCAAAACGGGAGGCTCTTTTGAACCATTTACCCGTCTCCTCGTCCTTGTGGCCAAACACACATAAGTCGACCGCTGCATCAAAGTAGGGGCCGCGCTCCAGGTCATCCCAGACCTCCCCCTCCTCATGGACTCCGGGCTCCTGCCGTTCATAGTAACTGCGCATGTCTCGCAGCTCGTCCAAGGATGGAGTGGAGGTGCCGGCCGGCATCTGCAGAATCACGAGCCGGCCTTGTCGCTCCTGGTACTTCCACAGCTTCATGATTAACTCCCACATGGGCCAGTATCGCCCCTTTTGTTCGCGCAACTCCTTCGAAGACACGCGCTTCCATGTAGACCACGGCCCAATTGGGGGCGAAATCATGATGACATCCGGCTTCTTGCTGGCAACCTGATCAAAGAGGCGCTTGCACTGCCGCTTTCCAGGGGGCCTGGGCTCCGTCCAGAGGGGGCCCGACATCTGCCAGGCCTCCGTTGTATCCACTTCACTCCAAGAGGTGCCGTTGTCGAAGATCTCCAGGGCGGTCCACCTGAACTTCACCGTGGCCGCCAAAGTCAACAAACAAAGAATCTTCGAGCCCCATGCAACACCTCGCCGGAGTTTCTGGCTTAATCCCCGCGAAGGCCTCCGGCCTCCTTCCTTCAGTACTCCCGACGGTAGGGATCGTCTCGAGCTGCCAGCGCCCTCTGTCCCTCCAGCGGTGCCGACATCAGATGGAACACCTTCGGGTTGTTGCAAAGCTGCCGGGCTGCTCCGAGGTGGCCCCACATCATGGCCGTCTGGCGACCCAGCAGCAGCATGAGCCATCTGGGGTTCCGGCGCCAACGAATCTTGGGCCCAAACTCCTTGGTCACCGCTGCTTTCACCCTGAGCATCAGAAGGAAGGTCTTCCACTTGAACGCAAACATCATGGCCTGGAGGCTCAGCATCATGTTGACCACGACGTCGTCCGAGAACTTCGTCGAGAGGGTCGGGAAGGGGGCATCGTGGTCCGTCAGCATCTTCATCTTCGGAGGCGCCTTCGCCTTCTTGCTGTCCGTGCTGGCCTGTTTTGTGGAAGATCTCGTTGCCCGTGGGCGCACCGCTTCGAGGATGGGGATCACATCCGAGTCCTCCTGGCTCTCGGAGTCGTCGTCTCCAGTTTTGCTCGGCTTGTCCGCATCCTCCATCGGGTAGTCCTTCAAGCAGTTCTCCCATTCCTCCTCGAGCATCTCCACCCGGGCCTGCCAATACGCTTTTGTCGATTTCGAGCCCTCGGTCTTGATGGAGGTCGGGTCCATGTGTTTCCACAACAACTGCTCGAGCTCGGCCGCCTGAGCTTGCAGCATCGCCTTGGTCGTCTTCCCACCTGGAGTTCCCGACGATCTGCCCCCCGGTGTCGACGATCTCGCTCCCGGCGTCGCGGGGGCCTTGGCGCGGTCCTCCTTGTCGATCTTCTTCGCGGCCTCCCGGGCGGCTTCGCGAGCTGCCTCGCGCGCCTTGGCTCGTGGCGATGGGCTGGCTCTTCGATTTTTCTCGTTGCGACGGACACGATTCTTGTCCACAGACTTGGTCCTCGCCCGACTGGCCTTGCTGGCAAAAGTCCCCAACTTTAGGCTGGTCCTCGAACGTCCTCCCGTTGACGCCGGGCTCTTCGGGCGGGGCTCCACGTCCTCGGGCAGGTCGACCCGGCTCCACACTCCCGACGACCGGGCATCCGTCGCATTCTCCTCGTCGTCCTTCTCGTCGCCCGTGTCCAGGTGGTGCACCTCCGGCCCCTTCTTGACCTTCTCCGCCTTCTCGTCCGCCTCGCGCCGGTTCTTCAACGCCATTGGTGTCACAAGGGATACGGGCGGGCGCGAGAGGGCACATCGAATTGGTACTCAAAGAGCTTCTTGAGGAGGCGGCACGGAACATAAAGATTGTTGTCGTGTCGTATACCTTTCCCAGGGCTTGTCTCACGGGAGTGCTTTGAGTCACATTCTCTTCAATGAGCTTTTCCCCGGTTCGACTGTCGAAGACGGTGCGCCGCATCACTTGTTCCCACCCAGGTCCCGAAACACCCGGCCCCACCGTGTTAGAGACTTGTTTGTCACGCCGAGTCCACGACCTGAGGGAGGCGCCTAGGTCAGGGGTTTCATCCGTCTGGTTGAGCATAGCATGGTACACGGGCACGGCTTCCAAATGGGCTGGGACATGAGGTTCGTGGATGGGGGGCATGCGACCAGTGAACTCTGCAATGGGGATCACGTAGTGGCCCCCGAACGTTTGTGCCAACCCATACCGATATACCTTCAGCTTCCTCGAGTACACCTGGTGATGTTCCGTGTCAATGACCATGCCCAGCTGTGTGCACGCAGGTTTCGACAGCAGAGGAGGACAATCACCAGGGACCACACTGAGCCTCAAAACGACACGTTTTCCCATGACTGTGGCCTCAAACAAGAAAGCAAACTGGCTGTGAAGTTCATGTCCATCCCCAAAACGAAAACTCTCTCGCTCCGGTATGGACTTCATCCAACGTCCAAGCTCCTTCAGGCGGGCTATGTGTTGATTAACCCACCGCGTGCCCGCCACCGACTTCATGCAACCCAGGTCCAAGATCAAACTGCTGTGTAACTCTCTCAGTGACCAAAACGTCTCATGGCTCACAGGCTGGCTTGCATGAACTGAAGCATTGGACGCGACCAAACATGAACTGGCACTGCCCTCGCACACAGACTCTGCACTCTCCATGTATTCCGCGATGGTCTCGAGGAGGCTCCACTGTCCCGGGTCCTGCGTTGTGCAGCCGGCCGTCACATGTACTGCATGGGGACCCTTCTGGCCACCTTGCTTCCTGAGCGGACACTCCTGACTCCAGTGCCCAAGCTTTTGGCATAAAAAACAAGGCTCCTTCTTCTGCTGCTCACGAACCCAAGCCTTCGTCTTCTCGCTATTGCCCTTCTTGAAGAACTGGCGCATCTGCTTGAGCTCATTGACGCGCTTCTTGGCCTTATACTCTTGAGCATAAACCTCCGCCGGCATCGCGATCTCAGAAGAGCTTCCATCGTCTCCCCCCCCTTCTTCCTCGGTGGGCTCGGTCTCGCCGTCCTCGTCGGGGTTCTCGTCCGAGTCCACCTCCGTGTCCGAATTGGACTCGCCCTCCTCTTCCAGGATGGCGTGAAAAACCTGGCGCAACTTCTTCAGGTGTCGGCCTTTGTAACCACGATCGCGCCGATCGTCACGGCCACGCGGCTTGTAGCCCCTTGTCGCCCGTCTCCAGGGCGACACCTCCTCCTTTCCGTTCTTCTGCACAAGGTACCGGTCCTCGTCTGGAAGGTCTGGCTCGCCCTTGCCTATCGGGTAGCCTTGTTGCCCTTCAAGCTGCTCCGACAGTTCCAGCATGGCGTTGATCACCCGGCCTTCTTCATGAAGACCTCCGGCCGTAGTCTTAATCAAGGCCTCGTCCTTCTTGGTCAAGCGGGCGGCATCCATCAAGTGGCCCAAGTAGAACTTCGTCCCCACCCGGTAGTTCTGGCAGGAGTCATTCTCGTGACGATAAATCGAGGCTCGATTGATGAAAGACTCCAAGGACTCCCGGGGATAGCGGCTCAACCTCATGAACTTCTGCCGCTTCTTGTCCACCTCCTTGTGCTCCAGCAGCTTGATAATCGGACTCTTCTCCATCTCCTGGCGAATCCGGTTCACTCCATCTGGTCCCGTCACGTCCTCGACCGTCAAGTGGTTAACGATCTTCCCAGCTCGCTCCTTCATGGATTGCATCAGTCTGGACCCCCTGACAGACGGAGGCAGATTAGCCCCTTCTGAGGCCAACCAGAACTCCACCGACCGCCAGTAGTCTTTCCAGGACTCCCCCGGCCTCGCCTTGAACTCCGGAGGGAACGACGAGTGCAACTTCATGTAGGACCCATGATCGCTCTTGCCTGTCCCCTCGGCTGTCACGGTGCCTCGGTCGCCTTCCGTGACTTGCCCTAGACACCCACTGACAGGATCACGGCAAGCATTCTTAGCACCCTCTCCTGCCGGTGGATCGTGTACTGGACCTCGCGGCTGATCATGTACTGGACCTCGCGGCTGATCGTGTGCAGGACCTCGCGGCTGATCGTGTAAGTGACCTCGCGGCTGATCATGTAAAGGACCTCGCGGCTGATCATGTAAAGGACCTCGCGGCTGATCATGTAAAGGACCTCGTGGCTGATCATGTAAAGGACCTCGAGGCTGATCGTGTACTGGACCTTGCGGCTGATCGTGTAAAAGACCTCGAGGCCAATCATCCCAACGATTGCCCGCCCCATGCCACCTTCTCGCTTCTCCTTCACTCTCGTAGTAGGCACGTCTGGGCGGGGTCTTTTCACGATTCTCGTCCCTGGAGAGCAGTCTCGGAAAAGGCACTTCCTCATCCTCCGGAGACTGGGTGCTCATCCGGTCTGGCTCCGATGCAGCTCCCCAGTTCACATACCGTCTCCAGCCAGGCCGAGTGGCATCTAGGTGAGCGCTCCACGGATCTCGATCCCAGCGGCTCGACGACCACGAATCCCAGGACCATTCCCAGGAACTCTGACTTGCTTCTTCGATCACAGGGGGCTCCGGCGAAGCCTCCCAGTTCTCTGGCATCCGTGGAACAACAGGCGTTCCCCAAGAGCGTCTCGCCCCCAATGACCCATCCACTGAAGGACTCCATCGCTCTGCTCTCACGCCTCGACTCGGTGAAGGCGTCGGCGTCAGAGGCGCACCTGGTTGTGCCGACTCCAACAACACCGTAGGCGCCGACGACGCGGCGTCCTCCTCATCACTCACCCGCTCCCACTCGCGGCCCTCAGCATCTCGCACGAAGGATCCCATGGCTCAAGGATTATACCCGGCCGGGATACAAAACTTTCTCAAGAAACCACCTTCACACCGAAGGAACCCACCCAAAGGACAACCACTACCTAAGCCCCCGTTCGGGGCTCCGCTACCACTAGAAAACCCAACCGACAAGAAAACAAAAGCAGGCCTCGACGGACCTTTTCCCTCGTGCTCTACGCTGAGAGCCATCCTTGTGGCAGCGGTTGAGTTCGCAACAGCTGTAAAAACGGCTGTTTCCACACTAAGGGTGTAGGGCTTGGGGCTTGGGGTTGAGGGTTTGAGGTTTGAGGTTGATTGATCAACAGCACCGTATTTTGCAAGAAGATACATCGAAAACTGGATCTCGCCATCCCTTCACCAACTATATCCAGTCCGCATCTGTCATATCGCAGACATATGAGCCTTGCTCCTCATGGGGCCAGACAGCTGTGAAGCAACATGGCACACTAGATTCGGTGATATCTTCAATATTCTTCGGACTGCGCGGGAGTTGCGAATCGCAGCCTACACTGAAAGCGCGCTGCAAAAGAAAGGCTCTTGGCGAAGGTTCCACTGTGCCCAAGCCACTGGCGTGCTGCTTCTCGAGCTGCGGGACCTGAACTGTGGACGTTCGGAAGCCTACTCTAGAATGGAAATCCTGCGCTGATATGCTTCCAGTACAAGACGCAAGCGGATGAAGAAAGAAGGCCAGTTGGAGGCTTAAGCTGAATCTGCTGTCTTACTCAATGGCCGCTCCCCAGCTACTTACCTCAGAACACAACATTACTGCACACGACCACTTGAGCAACACAGAAAGCAAAAGGAGCTTCAAAACTTCCCACGTCTAGTTCCAGAAGTCACAAAAACCTTAGGATCAGGGCTTCGGGAGTAAATGAGTAAGATATTCCTTCGGCTCTGCAACATACTTGTATTATAAATAATACACCCAAAAGCCTCCTCTCTTTATGGCTCATCCTCATAGGGGATCTTTGGGGTCCTCCACCACTGACACCATACTTAACCCCCTGGAAACCCTCTTCCAAGCATGGCTCAGTGCGGCTCCAGCGGCCCGGCTTCGCCAGCAGGGGCCCCACCAAATGCAGAAGCGGAGGCGAGGACGCCAGCCAGACCTTGCACTTGCAGGGCTTTAAGGTTAGGGTTCAGGGGTTTAGGGGTTCAGGGGTTCAGGGGTTTAGGGGTTCAGGGGTTCAGGGGTTCAGGGGTTCAGGGGTTCAGGGGTTCAGGGGTTCAGAGGTTTAGGGGTTCAGGGGTTTTGGGGTTTTGGGGTGGGTTTGGGGTGGAGGGTTTCAGGTCAAGGGTTCAGGGTTTGGGGTGTAGGGTTTCAGGTCTCGTGCTTTGGGTTCCAGGTCGATGGTCTGAGGTTCAGGGTTTGGTATTTGTCAGGCTCAGGGTTTAGGGACAGAAGTTCACGGCTTACGATCAGGGCTGCTTTGCAAGGGCTCTCTATCTGGATCCTGTGGCCCTTTTCTTCGCGGGCCGCGTCTTTTTTAGCTCATGAGTTGGCATGGATATCATGGGTATACAATGAGCAAAGAGGGTCGTAGGCCACACGGAGAGGGCTTAGTTTAGGGCCTTCTGGCTGCCTGTCGGCTACAAGAGGCATCGCTTCAGGATGCATGCCGTACTGGCCCAGCAACCTTCAGAACGTTTCTGCCGTGGTAGGCAGTCTTCAGTACAGCTTGGACGTGCAGACTTAAAACGTCTCTACTTCCACACACACTGCTTCCAACCCACCTGCAAGCGCTCCTGCTGGATCTCCGGGGGCTCGGTCGCCTGCTGCACTTTCGGCTTGGGAGGCGCTTCTTGGCTTTGCAGCTTGGGGAGTTTTCGGGGGTTGGGGGAGGGGGGTCTGAGGAGAAATGTCGGTACACCTGCGTGCAGATGTTCCGTGGCCACAAACGGAGCATAGAAGCAAAGCATGCTCAGCCTCTTCCCCCTCGGCCCCATCCGTCAGCAATGGCCTCAACCAGATAGAAAGCAAGCCCAGGACAGCTGATTGAGCTTCATGCGGGGGCCTTATCATGATTAGAACACGGTCTGAGGGTATATTGTCGTTTACGTGTTAGGGCCTGTTAGGGACCATAAAATAATACAAGGATTTTCATACCTAAACCCTAAACCCTAAACCCTAAACCCTAAACCCTAAAACCCTAAAACCCCTAAAAGTTTCAGCAAAAGCAGCATACGGCAGCTTACGGCTTCGGCCTAAGGTCCCTGCGGCGGCGGAGGCGAGCACAGCAGAAGGTCCACCAGGCCCGCCAGAAACCAGGCGTGCGCTTCGGGGGCCTTGGGACTCAGGGGGACACAGGGTTTTGGATTAAGGAGTTTAGGGTTTTTTTTATTGAACACCTTTTTCCTCCTGTCAGAGCATCTTTCAGTCGGAATCCGCATTGCGGAAGGCTATTACATGGCACCCTCAGACATCATCGTACTTCACCAACTTGAGTTTAGGGTTTAGGGTTTAGGGTTTTGGGTTTAGGGGTTCTGTGGACGTCGGCTGTGTCAAGAAGCATGAAGCAAGAGCTTTGCGACTTGACACATGCCGAGAGGTAATGAAACAAGCGGCATGCGACGCGGTTGCTGAAAATTTCCCTCGACCAGATTTGGGCGGGCCAAGCATGCCAAGCCTTCTACCCTGGCTTGTGGCAAAACGCTTGTTTTGAGCTCCAGCCTGGCAAACTTTCAATCCAAGATTCGGGCACAAGGTTTGCTCAAAGCCCCAGCATGCCAAAATTGAAAACCAGATTCGGTCCGAAGTGATCCTCAAACCGATGCAAGAAGGTCATGTTCGCAACCCCCACAACCCAACATCCGAATAGTATCTTTGTGAGAGCGCACATCATCACAGCATGAACCTGTCTCACTCCTTGAGGATTTGCTGAGATCGGCTCGGTCTCCTTCGAGGAAGCCTTCGGGGACACCCGGGCCAAGGCACACAAAAGCTCCCCCACCCTGCCCAAGACACCAACGCAGACAGGTAAAACGGTGCACTCACACACTCAGAGCCTCTTACCGCGACCACCCCGCAATGCCGCACCAAAGCCAAAACCTATTTCCGCTGGACCCGCTGCAGCCTTGGAGCCGGACATGAGGTGCCGGAGCAGCGCGGATGCCTTCGTGCAATGCAATGATATGCAATGTGCCGCCCAAGTCCAACGCCTCCAAAACCCTCCGTGTCAGAAGATACGCCCCTCATGTGATATCAGATCCAACAGGTATCGGTGCCTTGGCCGTGGAACCCGTCCACCTGCCCAGGAAGTCGTCTGGGCAGGCCGGGCACCAGAGTACTGAGCCTGCCTGGCAGCGACTGGCGGCTGCAACTCAGGGGTTTCCAAATCTCTTTGCTCAGGGACAGGAGAGCTGCTCTAGGCCATGCCCCTGGGCTGCAGAGGAGGAAGATTCGCCATGGTCAGCTTACGGCACTTCTGTTCGACATCTTTGCAATGAAGGAAGGTTCTCCACGGACACATGGGCAGCACCCCGGAACAGGCTAAGTCGCCCCCAACGCCTGGGTCCGAATACTACCACCAGCTCTGGAAGTCTGCACGGGCCACGTTGTCATGGCACACAGTCCTCAACTAATTACCAGACCATGTCCACTGAATTACCACCATCATCAAAACGCGCGTGAAGCAAGCGGTGTCGGCAGCACACCAGGCATGCAGCTGATGGCATTCACCGCGGCCTTTGCGGAGCATGCGTTTGACTCGCATGAATACTCATGACGAGCTCCCTGACGAACATCGGGAACCAACTACGGCTGAAGACTTCTGGCTCCACTGGAAGATGACTTGAGTGACTGTCCGTCTGTACCGCGCTCGCACAATGCTGGCTCGGCGGAATTTAGGAAGTCGCGTCTTCAACCCCAGATCCCTTCCGCCGGAATCTGCTCCTCGCCTTCTCGGAGATTCCAGGCCCAAACGAATCGAAGCCCCCCTAAGCTGAGAGTGGCCTGCCACGCCGGGCCGTTGCAGCGCTCGCCGGCCTGCCACCGCGACCGAAACAAAAAGAAGCGAATCTGAACCAGGCCGAGGCCACACGCTTGCACAAATCCCGAAACCGTAAACCTACACAAACCACGCATGAAACTCGGCTGTCGGAAAGATGGTCTTACCAAACACCACGCAGCACGCGTCGTTCCTCCGCTCTCTTGCAGCTCTGGCAATCTGCACCCAAAATCCAACAGGCTGATTGCTCGACTTGCTGAGTGCTCGACCTATAATGCTCGGAAACCTCAGCCCCTACAAAGCACCAATCCTAAACCCTTAACAGGCAGACCCCACCCTGAGCTCCCAAAACTCTCGACCACCCGCACAGCAGAGCACCTCCAGAGCGTGGGAGCGGAGCCTTGGAAAGACGGGTGGGGCTCACTTTCTTGCATTTTGTTTGGACATGGGCTTGAAACACCTTCACCCCAGATCCTTCCAAAAAATCTGAATGCAATAACCCTAAACCCTAAACTCCAATTTCTCAACCCTAAACCCATCTAAACCCTGATTATCCCTAAGTCCTCATGAAGGGTATGGTGAAAGCCCAGGGGCTCAGCGAAGGAGTTGAAGGTCTTGCTGCAGCCGTGGCAGTGCCAGGTTTGCTCCTCCTACTTAGACTCGCCGCTTGTCAAGGTAATAGGGGTTTATGTAGGAGTAACATGTATAAGTTACCATCATGGGGACTTGTATAGAAGTAAAATCTTATGGGCACCTAGTCTAAGTTACCACATTAGGGTTTTTATAGTAATAAGCATAATGTGTTTTCTGGCACATTCAAGACGAGTTGAATTCCTTTAAGCAACGAGGACCCAGTAGTACGACCCCACGGCGGGAGGAGGCTACATGAGACTTGAGGGGCGGGGCGGGGCCAGGGGAACGAAAGGAGGGGAAACAAAGCAGGCGAGGCGTGCTCCGGACATCCCCACATGCATTCACAACCGCTTCAGCAACGTATGGGAAGCAGAGATGGTATCATCACCTCCAGCACATCCAACCACATCAACAACAACAGAATCAATTCATTTGGGGTCTGGCCAGTCCCTCCTGCTAACTGCTAAGGCAGTAGCGAGCTTTCGTGACTTCGAGGCGCCACTCCCTCGAACCTGACCTCACCGCCCTACGACTACCTGACCATCGCCTGGCTCTGATCTCGGAGTGCGAGTTGAAGCTTGCCTCCAGCCCCGAAACCCAACAGGCGAACGACTCCCAAAATCCCTGGCTCGTTCGATGTGCGGAGTCCTCGGGAGCCAGCTCCTCGGGAGGAGGCTCCGGTGGCGTTCCCGGCGTTCCGGGCTCTGCCACCTGCAGAACACTCTGTCTTGGGAAAGGAGGTTGGGGAGTCAGAAGCTGCACGTGAGGACTTCGGGCCCAGTGTCTCATGAGCCCTTGGGGCTGGAAGAACTTACAGTCTCGTCTTCATGAGAACATTCGTTAAAAGACTGGGAGAGTTGCGATGCTACAGCCAGTCAGCTGCAAGGGTAACCAAGACTGTTGAGCAGTTCAACTGAAAGAATGCGCTCGCAACTGCAAACGGTTTAAGCTTCGAGAGTTCGGGTGTAGGGTTTAGGGGCTTCTCTCCGGCATTGTCCCTAAAGCCTCAGCCGTAGATCCATGTTGCGACAGTGACGGTACTCGGCCCACCCTGCGCGAGGGCGGCCTGATCAACATGGCGCCCCCACCCCCAACAAGGACTAGAATAGGGTTTTGGGGTATATTGTATTAGAATTACAATTAGGAACCCCAGCGCGCCATTGATTGGCTACGTCCTCCTCGTGGGCGGCGCGCGGACACTCGTGCCAGACTGCACTTAAAAAGAACGAAACAAAGCCAGGGAACGCACGGGGGCGCTTTGCGGTTTACATGCCAACATGTACTTGTCATGCTTGTGCTGTGTGCCTGCATGCTGATCTTTGCTTGTCCTGTGACGTGTAGGTCGATGATCGAGGAGGTGAGGGGGGAGAGCAAATAAAACTCAATCGGGAACGCATACGGCATTACCAACTTGAGGCACGTGCTAACCCATCCCTACCTGGGGCAGGTAGGAGTTTTCCCCTGGGGTGGCGGGTTGCGGGATCGGTGCGCGAATACGATTTCGGCGGAGGGGGACGGGATTGCCAATCATCTCATTTGCCGTCTCGGCCCAAATCCTTTGGGGCCGTTGGGTTGGGTGCCAATTTGGCACGCCGGCTCTCCCCGTAGGGATGAAGTATCGTGACGCGAGTACGGGGGTTTTCTCATCAGGTTGGTGTCGAGGCGGTCGGGGCAACCCGTGTGGTCGGCGGTTTGTCACCGGTGGCGTTGGGGGACGGGGGCGTTTTCAGGGGGGCGGGACCCTACGGTGTTCGACACGGGTCAAAGTGGGTTGGGGGCGGGGCTCTCAGTGGATACGGGGGAGGGTCTCAACGATCTAGAGTACAGGGGTTAGAAGTCTCGTACGTGCAGCGTCACCACCACAAAAAAAAAAAAACAAACAAACATTTACGGCCACCAATGTTCAGACTGCGAGATCGGCGGGACAGGCTACAGGCCTCGCTCCGTGCTTTACCCCACACTACGGACAGAGAGGTGAGGCATAGGCGCAGGCAGCTCAATCGTCGGTTGGCAGGCGTGAAGCGTCGTCTATGGCGGCTGAAGTCTATTCGTACGCGTGTAGTCGTCCAGCGGCTGCGGCGTCGGCGTTTAGAAACGAGACAGCTCCGAGAACACATGCACATAGCCACATGGAACACGCGAGGATTGGGGGCGGAGGCAGGGGATATTGACCAGGAGCTCAAAATGACGGCTATACTGGAAAGGATGCGGGTACAGAGATGGGACGTGGTGGGACTGACAGATCTCAAATACCGACAGGACGGCGTTCGCAAGTTTAGTCATGCAGGTCGAACAAGATTTCTTGTTGTGGCGGGACGGGTAGGATTCCTCATGTCCGAATCATGGCATGCTTGGTGGCAGTCGGGCGGTGGGGTTCTGTATGCGTGCTCGGTTAGGGTGGCAGCAACACAGATGCCTCGAGACGGTTGGAGAAGGGGGTTATACTTGTGTTGCGTGTATGCGCCCACGAGTGCGGCGGGGAAGCTGGCTCGCCAGGCCGTCCGACAGGAAGTAGACATCGCCATGGGACTGGCCACGGCCACTATAGTATGCGCATAGTGGTAGGGGACCTGAATGCGGAATTAGGGAACAATCAGAATACCAATCGCCCCAATTACGAGGTAGTAGGAGCGTTCGCGGCGGCAAAAGTCACCACAGCGGGGGAGGAGTGGAGGGCCTGGTGTGGACGGCATGGCTACCGGGATGCGTCGAGTCGATATCATCTGCGGCATCGATGGACGTGGCGTCACCCTAGATTTCGGTCACTGCACGAGCTGGATCACGTTTTAATTCACGAGACAGATTTGTGGCATTTACAGGCGGCCAAAATTTTGATGGAGGGCCCAAGCGTACAGGCTCCATGGACGGAGTACACGGATCATAATCCGGTTTCGGTGAAACTCAGGGTTGGTAAGCGATGGGGGGGTACGCAGAACCAGGGGAAATTTGCACCCAAACCACACCTTGCGCGCATGTCGGGAGGGGGACAGACATGCGACTTCAACGGTGGTGTCAACCATGGCTCAATTCCCTCCAGTTCGGATTCCGGGCGGGATCGGGGGTTGCCGATGTACAGCAAATTTCAAGGAGGCTGTTAGAAGAAGCGGCTCAGTCTGCGCACTCCAAAACTTTCCTCCTTCGATTTCATGATTTGGAAAAAGCATATCCTAAAGTGGCTAGACATGGTCTGTGGCGCATTTTGGAGCGAAAAGGATGTCCTCCAAGCTTTCTAAAAGTCCTGAAGGCTATCCATGAAGGTACAGCAAGCAAGGTACGACTACAGGGCCTAATGTCGACCAGTTTTGTACCCGACCGGGGACTGAGAGAGGGTTGCCCCTCATCGCCTATACTCTTTAATATATTTCATCACGGATTCATGGAAGTGTTTAGGGCGCGACGTACCAGGGAAGCGACAAGGGCAGGTCATGAACCGGGGGTGGTGTGGACCTTCAAGGTCGATGGCAAGGTAGCCAAGAGAAAGGGGGATAGGGAGGATGATTGTTCACGAAAACTGTTACGGACTTCGCAGGGGTTGCTACTGCTAATACGGACAAAACGGAAGGTCTGAGGGTGGAGGCGGAAGCCAGGCCACCCATAGATGTACCTTGGTTGGGTGAGAGCAAGGCGGTCAAACACGTAGGCGCAATGGTGACGGAAAGGGCGGGTCACACGGCGGAAACTGAACGGGCGGCGCGAAAGTGTATTCAGAAAATTGAGGAAATTTCCGCGGCATGGACGAAGGGCAAGGCCGCGAAACGTCGTAAGCATGATCTCAAGAAAAGCGTGCGTGTGAAGATTCTTAAAGCGGCGGTCAAAGGTACTCTTCTGACGTTCAGCAGAACTCGAGCATGGCAAACGAGTCAGGTGCACCGGATGCAATACATCATCAACTTTTCCATTCGATAGATTTTCAACGCACGAATTCAGGACCTGCGGCGTCAGGGGTTAACCAATGCGGTTGTGCGGCGCATGGTACAGTGGGAAACTTTTGATTCGGCGGTGAGACGGGCCTCTCTTATGTGGTTAGGACATGTGGCGCGGATGACCACGGAACAGCCTCAGAAACAGATCCTTTTCGGATGGTTGGAAGGGTCGAAAGCGAAGCAGCGCTGTCCTTTCAAACAGGCGCAGTGGATCAATTCCTGTCTTCGGGCGGCAGGTATTTCAGAAATGGATTGGTTTAGGTTAGCGCAAGGTCGCAGTGAATGGAAGAAACTGGTGTACAAGGCGTTTCCGGTAGAGCGAGTCCTTCGTGATAGAGAACAGGAGTTAGACGCATGGAGGTTAGGAGACCCAATACCAGAATGGGCTAAGGACGGGGAAAACGATCAGGCGGAACAGCGGTTCGAAAACAGCGAGGATGAACTTGGGGAGCGACGTAGGGGAGGGTACGAAGAACCGGAACCACGCACATACGGGAATCGTCCGCGCAGATTACGTCAGGATCGAAGGGCTGCTAGGGGAGGGGGTACTCCAACCTGTCCGGTATGTGGGGAGCAGTTCGCCAAAGCCAACCAGCTAGCCTTTCATTATGAAGCAGCTCACTCCATATGTGATCCCCAAATCAGTACGGTACAGTCGTTCCGGTGTCAACAGTGTCTACAGACGTTCCGTAGAGCGCAGCAGCGGAAGGACCACACTTGTCCAGCTCGCAAACTACTACCCCGGTTCACGTGCATAGACCAGGAAGGACACGTAGGAGGTCCGGACAGAGGGGCGCAGGCACCTTGCCCGTTCGATGGGGGCACATAAGGGGACGAATAATACGGCGGAGTTGAGTGCGATCGGGGAGGCATGTAAATGGCTTTTGGAGTTGCATGAGCGATTACCGGCTGAGGTTTCCAGAAAAGCAGAAATACTGTATGACTCTGAGTATGCATATGGGATCGCGACGGGGTTGACCAAAGATAAAGAAAACAGTCGTTTGGGGGACATGGTCGCCGGGTTGGTAAGCAAAGCACGTCGAGTGTTTGAGGTTTCGTTCCAGTTCGGGCGGACTAGTCCGTTACCCTAGGAGTTAGGAGAGTGCTCGGTCGGCTACACACTCGCACTCGCGCTTCTCTTTTGTTGGCCGTTGCGTGGAAACCG